GCACACACAGAAAAACGCATTTAGGTCCCCCTCACATACATTCCTAATGATCAGTTTGCATCAGATTCTCTCAGATTATTACTCACTTCTGTTGGGATTTTTGTTTCTTTTTGCTGCCTTTTTTGAGAAAAATAGATGTTGAGGTTATTTCAAATCTGGAAGAGCAAATAATTGCTTTCCAAATATTGTTAGATAATATATTTAGAATAATGTACATACATACATACATACATATATATTCATATATTTAAAAAGAGAATATTTTAACTCTAGACAAACAGAGGAATTACTATGTATTATTTATATATCCTTGATCACATTTTCAAATCATACCATACCATCACTTTGGGCTAATACAATATACATTATTTTACTTCAATGCATAAGGACAAAATCTAAAACAAGTCTAAGAGAGGGAAAGCACAACAAAAGACTAGAACTTCCCCACCCCAAAGGCTCATACTGCAGTGGCCCATCACTTTCTTTCCCCCCCCAAAAAAAGAGGAAAAAAAGGCTCTGGCCCTAGGGTCAATAATAGAAATACCTGTATAGGTGATATTCAAAGCTACTATTTTCTTGAGAGTGTGGTAGCTTCCCATTCATATTTTCAGTTAAAATGAATTATTAAAAATAAAAGCTGGCAAAGCTGTGAGCTGCATGGATAGTAAGAAACTTACCAAGAAATTGTGGCCCTCAAAGGCCCTGTTGGAAATCCAGGATTTAGATAGTAAAAAAGCCCTGTTGTTCTAAAAAGTGGTCACTAGATCCACAAGGCCTAGGAAGTATCCTTCACTTTATATGAAACCAAGATGGATTTAGCTGCTCTATTTCAGTAAGGAAAATGTACACCCATTTTATTGGATTTGCTAACCAAAAAGGGATACATCTGTATTTTTTAATTATTTCATACTCCATTCTATAAAGTCTACCATAAACTCCCAAAATAATGTACTAAACATTTGTGGTGTGGTAACCTGTAATTATTTCAACACTGTTCATAGTTGTTGGAGGTCTGTGTGAGTCCCGCTGAAATTACTAATGCTTAAGAGAAAATCTGAGTGTACCGCTTTCAAAACTGAGTATGCCACTCTCTTGCTGGTGTAATAAATGGAAATAAATATTTGGTTATCGTTAAATTCTCTAAATAATTGTACAATCATATGTTATTTCATTGCTTATTCTTGGGGAGAAAAAATCTGAATCTCACATCTCAATTCAGATTTATCTAAGTAGTTTGAATCTTAGCAAAGCTGTTTTTAATATAAATTCAATCAGAACTGAACATTCTCAGTAGCATAAATTAAAATACATTCCTATCCAATAACAGCTGATTACTAACAACAACAGACCAGAGAGTTGGTATGCCACTTCTGCAGTTCAAGTTAAAAAGCAAGTATATACCAGTACATAAACAAATAATCTGTCTATCTAAACAGGATTTGTCAAACAGTTCCGTTTCCTTCAATCAAGCAAAAAACAAAAAAACCACTGAGAATCAGTAATTGATGTAAGTTCCTGTTAAAATTAAAATAGGTATTTGAAAATATTGTAGTTGGTTTCATTTAAAAAAAAATGTTGACAAATTTCTTGTATCTGTTGATTGATGCATTTTAGGCCAATCTTTTCTGAAGCTTTCATTCATCATTGATGAAAGCCGTCAAGTCAATATTATGCATGTATCTATCTTTGTGGAATAAACCTGGATGTCTATTTAGAAAAATGAGAAATATAGGCCTGCCATTTATGTCTGTCTGTCTAATTAACCACTACAACCTTCAATCATTAAAAGCAATTAAAATCAGTTAAAAGCTACAGTTAAAAAGTACAACACTGCAAATTAAGGAATGGGGGAATCGGATGGGAAAGGCAGAAACAAAAAGTTTTGGAAAAGAACATGAGCAGAGCTGGGCAGGAAAAAAAAGCAAGGCACATCTCAGTAAATATTTTTCATCAAGATTAGAATGCCGTGGAAAAGGAAGAGAAGATGAGTTTATATTGCCATATATTAGAATGCGAATGGTGGAGAAAATGGCAAAATGCTTTGGCTTCACTTTTTGGAAAGAAAAAGAAAGGGAACATTGAAGACAAACCAAACCTTTAAATTTAAATGACTTCGTTTTACTTTTTTTACCAATGGGATCTGTTTTTTTTTAACAATTTTATTGTTTTTTTTAAATTCTTAAGAAAAAGTACTCAGGACCCACCGTGTTGGTTGGGTGGTCAAACATTCAAAAGTAAAAACATATATAAACAACACAACTCAATAGATTTCACTATCCCCTCTCTATTCCCCTCAATTAACATGATACATTTAAATATTCCATTTCTATTTTAAATTTCTATTATTATTAAACCTGTATTATTACTTTATCAGTTTACAATTACAATAATTTAAATTTAAAACAAGAAATTATTTATTCTAATTCTTAATCTCTCACATACCAGTGGGATCTGTTTTTAATACCCTCTCAGGCATTTTAAATTTTATTAACAAAGCAAGCAAACATTATCAACAGTTATTCCACCAGCATAATTATTATGACAGAAACCATCTTTCTTCCTCCAGAGGATTTTTCTTTTTTCTGCCTTAAATTCACATGTCCCTCAAGGATGAAACTTTATTACCTCAAGCTTCCAGCAAACAGCATTTCTAGGACTTAACACCTCCCATTTGTTATTTTTAGCGTAGAAGTTTTTAAATCGTTAGAGTTTGGCAGATGCAATGATTTGTGTAAATTCTTTATCATCTCGTGGGGGATTAATGTACTGTAATTTGATAATGGCCCTCCTCTTTAAGAGTCAGGAGTACTTCCAGAAGAAAGAAACTTGATTGCAGATGATGGATAGTGTAAACCTCCACCAATGTCCACAATATGACCAATATGCATTTATCATTACCATTTTTCTTTGTAGTACTTTTAATTATAATTGCCATTGATTATCATATACGAATAGAACGGTTGCTCTTGGGCATGATATTTTATGTACTTTAATTGCATTAAGATTTCTCTTTGTTTCACCAAAAATATTCATCTAGTCTTAACGAAGAGGATGCTTAATGCCCTGAAATTCTGCACAACTATGAAGACAGCAAGAAGCAATCTAACTTTAATCTATTTGGAAAGATAAAATATTAGTTTAATAGGGCATATAAATCAGATAAAAGTTTATTTTAGCAAGCTTTTCATTTTAATGATGTCTATACATTTCAAGAGTTTAAAAAAAAAATCAGGTTTCAGTATAGAACATGCATTCTGATGTTCCTTAACACAACAGTTGCTATAATCTAATAATACAATTTAAGAAAGCTTAGTAGGCTAAGGGGGAAAATGATCTTATAGTAAACTTAATTGTCATGACGGATAATGTTGAATGCACATGAACAGGAATCCTATTTGTTTATAGAAATCCAACAGCCACAATCTGAAGAGAAAAAATTGCAGTCATCTGTTTAATGATGCATTTACTGAATCTGTTTTTAGACCAATAGAAGACAGTTACTTTAAGAATTAAAGCTAACTGTTAAACTAGGAGTCAATGAATTACCTTAAACCTCTTATTAAAATGCTTATACAAAGTATGCATTCAATATGACTGATTCTTTATATAGACATTTCAATTTAGTTCTGGCTGTAGGACACATTAAATCATATCAAATGTAAAGGTAAGAGAAAAGGGGGAACATCTGCAGTTGGGTTTTTTTTAAAAAAAAAAAATGCAGTGCCTGTAAATCACATTGCATTTGTGGATACTTTTCACTAAGTTTTGAAAAATATTTTTCAAAATACCTTTGCCCTAAAATATTAATAGCAAAATATTATTTTATTTCTGATTGCTAAACTTCTGTTGAATATTGTTTCTACATAATAATTATCAACTAAAAATTATACTAACCTATCACAATTAGAACCAGCTTAAATGGTATATGTCATTTAAAAATATCTTAGAGTTTCATGCTGATGCTTAAAATTCTTATAGAAAATATTTCTAGGAAAGGAACAGAAGAGGAATTAGTCACCCCTTATATGACTGTTTACTTTTCAGTGAAATCTTTGGCAAATATGTGCCAAAATGTTGAAAAGACTTTCAATCCAGCACTGTTTATGGATTTTTCTCTCCAATGTGAAATTCATAATTCATAGGCATAGAAATATTTTGACAACATCCATATTACCACAGATGAACTTTTCACACCTTCTTGCATTATGAAATAATTAATTATTCCTCTCTAAATCATTGTAATGTTTAAAATAAATTGAAAGTTTCTATCCTAAAGAGTTTAATTTCATATTTTTAAAAATATGTGGGAAAAAGGAAGTTTTTTAAAATGAAACCCAGTGATCCTGAATAGAATCTGTGTTCAAACTTTACCAATATAAAAATTGCAAATATAAAATAGCACAGACAACATTATTTGGAAACTTCACTTCAGAAAGGAAAAGCCACAATACCTGAAACATACTTGAAATCCTTTAAAGGCCACAAATTCGGCATGCATGTTAGGGAATTCCACAAGCGCTCTCCCCAATTCAACATGCAAACGAGAATCACCTATGAGAAACTTGCGAAATATGAAATATTCCCCCCAACCGTTTGAATGTCTAATTCTATCATCCTTGAAGCACAGACAATTTTCTATAATCTTGTAGTGATTTGCAAAGCAAACAATATATACCAATGCACTTGCATGATTTTTTTGTTCTAATTTTTTAAAATTATTCTTGGGCCAATGTAATCATTTTAATTACATCAGTGAAAGAAGGAAAACAAAAGGCAGGAATGTTATTGACACTGACTTTATACTAAAGGTAAGAGAAAGATACCTCTACCCAGGGCTACCTACTTAGTAGCTGTTTTACCATTAGCCCAACTCCATCTTGTAGTTGTACCTCTTCCAGAGGCCAGTTTTTGCCTTTAAAAGTAAGGGCATTTGCTCTCCTATTTCGTCCAGCATAGAGCAGATTTCAAACAAAGGAAATAAAATGAAATTGGCAACGTACCTAAATTGACAAAGCTCATGACCATATCTGCATCATTCAGAAAGTTGGTGTCGTGCAGGCTAGCTAAGGTGGGACTTTGTGTAGGCAGTGAACTTGTCCGTGATATGTATATTCTTCGGGAGTACCCATTTGGAGATGCCAAGTAGCCCTTCCGTAGCCCTTTGCCCTCTCCGCTTGGGGATGATCCCCTCACCAAATATTCCAACTCTTCGGGATCCTCTTCATTTGTCATTGCATTGTACAGATCCAGCATAAAGAGGGGTGCTGAGGAAGCTTGTTTTCCAGCTGAAAATGGCCTGGGTCTATGAGGTAAACCCAGGATAGAAAGAATTTCCCTTTGGATCTCTCGCCTCTCATGGTTCCGCAATCTTCGATAAATAAAACTCGAGTGGACATGGTTGTCCCCCAAACCTGCCTTAGCATAATCCATTAAAAGCCAATAATTCCAGAGTAAGCTCAATAGAACTTTGAACAGAGTTTGGTGCATTTTAAAATAAAATAAAATGCACAAATAACTTTGAAATAATATTGTATTTTCCTTTTTCTGGTCTCTTACGAAATCTGGTGTTCCTGGGACCAGGGAAGGTTAAAATAAAATAATAAATAAATGAGCGATGAATTACCTATGCCTCATGTCAGCGTTGCCATTTCTGCACTTCCCATATTGATCATCTTCTTCCGCTTCTTCCTTAAGTATGATGGGACGTGTCAGGCTGCCTGCAGTTCTATGAAAGCTGAAATTCAGACGTCCAGTTTTCTACTGCTGCTACTGTTTCTCCTGCACTGGTGGAACAGGTTCCCAGAAGCTGACCAGTTGATGCAGGCATTCCTATTCAAAACCTTGAGATGATCAGACTTGGGGATAGTTTTGAATGAAACAACAGATCATCTTCTGTCAAACTGCTATAATCAGCAGAGTCCCCTCATGCTCTGATTCCTAATCCCCAACTAGGTAACTCTTCTTCAACCTTGCTGTCCTTTCCTGAATGCCAGCTTTCTTGTCTTCAACTACTGCTTGGTGATGGTGCAATTTCCCTTTGGTGTTTTTTTTTTCAGCACCCAGCTGAACCTATTAACATTTGTAATGTCCAGCCCATCTGAAAATGCATCACAGGCTTGAAAATGTCTTCCTCTGAATTCACCCAGGGATATGTTGAGAAAAAAAATAGGACCCCTCCCCTTCTCAATATCCATCCAGTCTTTTGCAGTTCCTTAAAAACGATTTTCACCTCTACCAGGCAAAAATAGAGTAGCTCCCTTCAAGAGAGATCTGAAAGCTAATGTAAGCACAACCCTGCTGGGAGAGAAGAGGCTTCTCATTGTAATTTGAAACTGGCAAAGTGAGGGGGGAAATGAATTAACCCTTCTACTGCCACACAGTTACTCCCCTTCCCCAACCAGCCAGTGTAGAGTTCTCTAATAGGATGGGAGTAATGACCTCCCCAAAAAGAATTGTGTCAATAGATCGATCTTAAAATTTAGCATGCAATTCACCTGAGTACTTACAGAGTTGAAAGAACATAGGGCTTGTTTGAAGTTTGCAGATCATCCTCTTTTTAAATGTAACCATTTTCAGGCCAGGTTAAATACTTTAGCATTCCACTGAGATCAGCATGTGAGGCCCTGAGTTTTTTGGGACATGCTCCTTAATTTGGAAGGGTCCCATCCAACTGCAGCGAAGCACTTCAGAGTCACACAGTTTCAAGCAGAGATCTGAAAAGCAGGCTTATCTTTCCAGTTAAAGGAACATGACCAAGGATACAGTTTTGGAGCCTGTTGCCTAAAGTAGATGCAATTGAAACAGACTGGGTGTTTCTATATCATTAGCGTGAATACTTTTCACTTATTTATCACCCAAATTTAGACCAAAAACAGCATTTATTTACAAAATAGTAGATGTGATGTGATGATTTTTTCACAAACCCTTATAATACTTTCTTCTCTCTGCTTCCTGCTTGCTTTTCTTGATATATTACATTTAGTAACTATTGGACTCTTGTGGGGATTGATTGAAAAAAGCAACCTCACACATTTTTCAGATATATTTTAGTTCATTTTTTCTTTCAAGGCACTCTTGAGCCTTGCCAGGGTAATTGATCTCAGAATAACAACAACAACAACAACAATAGAGTTGGAAGGGACCTTGGAGGTCTTCTAGTCCAACCCCCTGCTTAGGCAGGAAACCCTATACTATTTCAGGAGAATGAAAACCTTTTGAATTGGATAAATACTTCATTTTATAAAATGAAAAACAGCAGGCCTAACCAACACCACAATAAAGAAATCACATTAACATCCCAGCTGAGTATATAAGATTGTTGTGTTGAAAAGAGATGGGGCTTGTTTGTTTTATTGTGAGGTTTGTTTATTGCATATATTTTTTAAAAAAAATAGTGCTGCACTAATCGCATGGAAATTATGACTCAATATTTCAGCAATCAAGTTATGAACCTTTACTTGTGAATTCAGCTTTCTGTTTTACATGACATTTCTCTTTTCACCACACCTTCAACACAAAAGTACATTCTTTATTTTATCAAATAGGACATACCAAAGGGGCATTAGTGATAGATTACATGAGGACATTGCTTTATACGGGCAATAGATTCTCAATGAATTCATTTCTTCTCACTCCAACCAATTAAATACTATCAGTCCACACGCTATCTTTATACTTGGATTTTATTTATTATTACTTAAAAATGATTCTATTGACCAATAGATAGGTAAGAGGGGTAATATTAACAGACAAGGAAAAAATTGGGCCAGAACAAACTAAAAATAACTAGAACATATTATTTTGGTTAAAGGAGTCACATCTGTAGCACACTAAAGAAAGAGCTACGGTGGTTTCATTGTTTGAAACAGAAACAGATATGTGTCATGAACTCACCCACCCAATCCCAGAAGATAATGAGAAACCCAAAGGCCTACTAAGTCATCAAGCTCCTAAGTAGATTTAAAGAAATGTGCCTAGTTTCTAATAGTTGAAATTTACAATTCAAGATACTTATAATAAAAAGTCCCCCCCCAGGATGTCAACAATTGAGACACTTATCCCAACCTTTGAAAATAAGCATAACAAAATTTAACTTGTGAGAAACTCTAAAAGATTATCTACAAATGTTTATGCATTTATACTTTCTCTTGCCTGGTATAGCCACATTAAGGTCACATCTGGACTGGTGCCAACACATCGATCAAAGCATAGGAACAGTCCTGCTGGATTGGACCTAGAATTACATACATCCCAGAGTCTTTCTTCCAGCTATGGCCAACCCAAAGTTTCTGAGATGTTCAAAGATACAACAAACTCAAAATTTGGTTTAAGGGATTTTCCATTTAGCTACCATGGCCAAGTAAGAGAAGATAAATATAACCACCCAGAACAAGAAATAATCTTAAGGAACTGATTCACCTACTTGATATTTAGAAAAATCAATTTTCATCCAGTTAGTTTCACTTAATGTGGTTTTACTGACTTTGAGGGTACCAGGAGAAAAATTATGGAGGGCTACTCCTGAACAATATATCTGGTACATTATTTACATAAACTGTTTGCTATCATCATTCATATTCTCTTATTATAGCCTAATAGAATACTTCTGAAACTTAGTTGGATTCTTCTTAGATCCAATTACATTTCCTTCAAAGAGACCTGAGGATCATATGACATGGTTAAGTAACCTATGTATTTCCAGATGCTGTTCCATCATTCTGAGAGTCATTATAATGGCTGGCCTTTGTGGAAATTGGCAACCAACATATCCAGAGAGCAGTATATATATGGACTTAAAATGAACACTCATGTCAATGCTAAGGTTCTGAATTACACCTCTGTGGCCTAGATCAGCCCATTAATGAGCAAGCAACATTTCAAGTGCAATATAAATTGCTATAATTATCCCCAAAAAACCAGATAGATAACCTTTATTGTCATTTTTTTTCTGTGGGCACAATGGCACACATTAAAATCATGCTATAAATAATAAAAGATATTTCAATGCAGCAAATAGGGGCTCAGAAGCATTGAAACAGCTAAAAAGATCTACAGTTCAGTCCAATCCATTTGGAAACAGGTCTCACTGATTTAAACCAGACTTACATATTAATAAAACTGTCTTGATTTCAATGCTTATCAAAATTATTCCAGCTGTGTAAGACAGAAAAAAATTAAAACAGACCCAGACAATTAGATACATCAGCGGCCCAGAAATTTTTATTTTTTGGCAGAAGACCTATATCCTGCAAGGGATAAGAAACTTGATTTCTGCTCTTGCTTTGTTGCTGCCTTGTTTTTGAGAAAGATCACAAAGAAAGGCCATTTTCAGTGAAATGACAACTCTTTAGAGACAAAAACAAGAGCACACCAGGAATAAACATTTCCAGAGTTTTGAAGCAGCACAGAGAAATGTTGTATTGAGCCAGGAGGAACAACCTTGCTCTATTCAGGCAAAAATTGATGTGAAAGCAGTTTTCTGAGAGAACTGAACTCCTCATAAAAAAATACTTTGGAAAATACGCAACAAAGACTGCAAAGTCATAAAGATGGAGAAATTGGGCATAGGTTTCTATGGGCTCCAGTCCATTTTATCAGGCTCGTAACTGAAGAGATGGGTTGCATTTTACAGGCACATGTGCTGCAATAAAGAGAAAACAACCTTTTGGGGCTTTGGATTGTTGCAACAGACTCACACAACTGCAATACTCTTCTGGAATGTGCCTCTAGACCAAGGGTATCAAACTCGCAACATCACATGACATGTCACAACATATCGTGACTTTTTTTCCATTGCCAGCAATGGGGTGAGTGCGGTTTCGGCATGATGCATCCGGCCCACGGGCTGGCAGTTTGATACCCCTGCTCTAGACAGATGGGCAGCACATAAATCTAATAAAGAAAGACATACTTATTATCATTCTTCATTCCACTGAAGAATCACAGCTTTGCTTGGGTAGAAAGGCAATTTCCAAATCAGAATATAGGTAGTCCTTGGTTAACAACCACCCTTTCAGCGACCGTTCAACAGCACTGGATGAGTAATCCTTATGATCAGTCCTCAAATTTCTGGCTGTCACAGTCTTCCTCAAGTCATGTGATCATGATTCAGGTGTTCAGTAAGTGGTCTGGATTTCCAACCGTCATAGCATCCCACAATCATGTGCTCACAATTTGTTATCTTCCTCGTCAGCTTCCAACAAGCAAAGTCAATGGGGAAGCCGGCTGGAAGATGAAAGATGCATTCATGTGAGGTCCTTATGAAACATTCTTCTACCTGATATTAGATTGGCCCCATCCTTTTTGACATTCCAAAAGGCCTTTAAGATCCTAAAAGACCAAAAGGACATGTGTATAGATGAGGACTGTCTATTTGGGGAAAATATTACTAATATTAACAATATTAAATTTTCCACCCCGCTTCCACAAAACTCTTGTCATATCAGGGATCTTTTGCCAAAGCAGTTATGTATGAAACTGATCCCACAAAAGATGCACTTCACCTTTCCATCACTTTGCAAGAACAAATCAAGCAACTAAGAGTGAGTCTTCAGATGCATGACTTTCTGAACCTGGGAACTGATCCCACAAAAGATGCACTTCACCTTTCCATCACTTTGCAAGAACAAAGCAAGCAATTAACAGTGAGTCTTCAGATGCATGACTTTCTGAAGCTGGGAATGCTGTCTTTTCTTGACCTGCCTGCCCGCAGGATGCAGCATCTGAGCAAAAGTAGAAAGGCTGTCTTGATTGGGCTGCACTATCTGTTTTTCTGGATCTACCAATATTGCAAATACTAAATTAGTATCACCCACACATGCTCATTCCTTCTTCAAATACAACAAAATAGTTGTAATGGGAGATAAAACTACTGGAGAGGGAAAAAAGTCACCTTTATTTGTTCACAGAGGATATGGTTTTCTGAGATGTTATAAATCTTGGGGGAAAAATCTCAAGGCTTTGTCTTTTTTATTCCTTATTGCATTTCTCTCTCTGTGTGTGTCTTTCTCTCCCTCCCCCCCCCTCTCCCTCCCTCCCTCCCTCCCTCCCTCCCTCCTCCCGCTTCTCCTCCCGTCTCTTGCAATTAGGGACACAATCTATCATCATGCCACTGTGATTTGCAAGTCTACCTACCTAAAGAGACTTCAGTAATCCTTCTTGGTCTACAATAAGGCTCTGATTAGCACAGAAATTACACAGTGGCAAATGTAAAACATTTGT